TATAAATAGGAAAAACGAAAAAATGGTAATAAAATTTTGAAGAATCTAAATTTTAAAAAAGTAAAGCAGTAACTGAAAAGTACTCACACACAGTAGCACCGGATTGATAACCTTCATGGGAGGTCCAACTGCTTGCTTTGATTACCTGAGGGGCTTTCATGTTGTTAGCATGTCCAAAGTGAGCAGTAACACCAACGACATTGTTTCTTTAAATAAAGAAAAAATATTAAAAAGATCATTCTATGATCGGTAAGAAGGGGCGACGAAATGAGACGGGGAGTGTAAAGGGTCTTATTCTTCTATGTGCTGTGTCTCTTTAGGGCGTTGTCGATCATGGCTCTCCACAATTTCCTATCCTTTGTAGATCTTAATAAATGTTGTCTTATTGTTATCTCACCTAAACCTTGTTTTGACATCCATTTACGCAAGTTTTATCTTCTTCTACTTCTATGTGACGTGTCCCTTCAGGGCGTTGTCGATCATGGCTCTCCACAATTTCCTGTTCTTTGTAGCTTTTTTTATATCTCTCATAAACTCTCTTTTGCAATTCCTTTGCACAAGCTCGCTGGGTATTCTATGCATTGTTCTTCCATTTGCCTTCAATTTGTGAGCATGAAATTTTCCGAGCCTTATTTCCTCGTTATTTACATTAGAAATTTCGATTGTCTCTTTCTGATGTTAAGTATAAGTATAGTTTTTGCTTGAATTTTCTGTAAAACTTTTTTCGTTGCTCGGTGCATGGTATTCTCAGCATCCTTCGGTAGACCTGTAAACGACAGGTGAACTCTGTGGGGGTTGAACAAACACAAATGTGCTGGAGCAGGTGTCTGCAATGGGGAGTAGATAGCCGCCGTAGTTGACTGGCATCCTCGGATGGGAGTAGCTGCCTCATTTATATTTTATTTTTTTTAATAACATTAAAACGCTGTTATACCTTTCATTATTAGCTACGAAGAGATCCTTGAAAACGCATAGATAATGGTGACAACTTAGTTGGGTAGAAAAAGTGTTCTTTTTATTATTATATACTTTCAAACTAGCGTCTCCATTTTTGTTGTTATTACCACAACGTTTCGAAAGGTGTCTGTCAATCCTGGTAACACCCAGTGAATTTCGAAGTGAGCCATTTCATTTTGTCTGGTTCCTTTTGGTACTTCTCACTTATTGCTCGCCCTGTTTCCATTGCACTACCTGGCGCTGGGATTGAACGTACAATTACTATGTCGCCAAATTCACGTACAGACATTAGGATATTTCCTCGAGGGACAACCCTGAACCTAGAACTGAAGCCTTAAACCCTATGCTTATATTGCCTGTCTGCTGTTGCTGCCACAGCTGTCGCTGCTGTGAGGCTTGACCTTCTCCTCCACCACTTCTCATTGCTGCTGCTACTACTGAGGCTTTTCTGTAATTCTTGGCTTTCTCCGCCGTCGTTTGTCTTCCTCGTTTTCTTTTTTCTTTTTAATCATTTCACACAAAGCAAGGCAATAAAGCTGCTGAGACGCGAAGAGGGGAGTTACTGAGTATGAGAGAATATAGGAAAAAGTAAACAGGAGAAAGGACAATAAAAGAACAAGAATTAAGACGACAAAAGATGACGGTTGACATTGCAGTCCCTAAAGAAAATGGAAACAAAAAAGGCAATTTGTACTTAACATCAGGAAGAGACAGTTGATATTTTTAGGTCAGATAACGAAGAAAGAGGGCTTGGAAAATTTGATACTCACAGGACAGATTGAAGTTAAAAAAAAAAAGGGACAGAGAAAAACAACGCATAACCTACTTGTGTAAATGGTTGTCAGAACAGGGTTTGGGGGCGATAACAAAAAGACAAAATTTATTAAGAGCTACAAAAGACAGGAAATTGTGGAGAGCCATGATCACCAGCGTTTTAAAAGGGCATGGCGCATACAAGAGAGAAAAGACAGCTTCTATACGCTTTTTAGAGTTGGATCCTTTTGATTTTTTTTTTTTTTAATATGTACCTATAGCCATCATTCCTAACACCTGAAGAAGGCCGGGGGTTACAATGACTGAAACGTCGTGATAATAATAATAACAAAGATGATGATGTAAATAATAGTCTTTTGTTTTTGTTGGTTTCTTTTTTGTTTGTTTTCGTTTTTTTTTCTATTGTTTTGTTCTTTCTTTTTCTTTTTCTTTTTTTTTTTTTTTTGTCAGCGAAGATTTGCTCTATCTGATGTTGCTATTGTGGTCCTTGCATCTGTTACGCTCTCAATAATGAGAGAGAGTGCTGAAATATTCTCGGCCCAGCCTACTGTCCCCAAATCAGTGTCTGCCGATGGAAACGCTGATTTTTGGAAAGCGGGGCGGACCGAGAATGTTTCAGCACCTCCTCCTATGTGACAGAGAAATAACCTGGAATGTGATAATCGACTTACATGCAGTGGGCTGCGGTCAGGACGTGAACGGTATCGATGAGGGCACCCCCGCAAGCTATCATTCCACCGTCCGGCATATCCATAAGAAGAAAAACCATAGAAGGAAATTCACATTCACCTGCCTCAGTGCCACTCACAATCTGCTTAGTAATTTTTCCTGCAACATTAAAAAAAACGACGTATTAAATAAGAAAGCTGATATGGAAGTGGTTTCAGAACACGATGGAGTAACGGATAGCGGCTCGGATTGAGGAATCGGAGAGCCGAGTTCGAATTCCAGTCGAATTCATTACATTCACTTACGTGCTAATATCCTTGGGAAAGGTATGAGTCCTCTTCTTCTACCTCCAGCTATGGGCAAATAGCAGAACAGACCGGGTTCTATAGCCTTGGATGGCAACTGGTCTACCGCAGAAAGAAATGGCAACCTACAGCACGTTTAAATTAATGCAATTTGGGAACCAGCGAAAGTAGCTCGTCAGAGCAGTTACTGTGAAAGTATTTGTAGAAAAGACAGAGGGAAGCGATGGTACATCTGTAAGAGAGCGACTGTAGACGAGATGCTAGACCAGGGCCAATCACATTGCATATCCATCTCTGGATTTTGTCGAGGACCTTAAGACGAACAGCGGGGTCTCCAGACCATATATGACAGCAGGATTCCATGCAAGGGTAAATGGTTGATTTATAGGAAAAAAGAACGAAAAGGAAAAATGATTAAAATATGAAGGAATTAATTTGAAAAAGGAACGCAAAATACAAAGTGTAATTTACTGCTTATCAACATTTTGCAGGTTATTCAGAGCGGGAAAATGTTTTTAGGCTGTAAGAATTTGCTGGAAATAATCATTTACAGGTAAAATTCGTACTAATTAGCCCATAGTTAGGTGGAGAAGAGGTGGTGCCATACTTTTACCAAGGTTATTTGTGCGTAAGTGAATATAACGAACCCGATTTGAATTGGAACACGGCTCTCCGATTTCCATTTCCAAGCCTTTATCCATTACACCACTTAAAGCATCTGGTATTCCCAAGCTGTTACCCATCTAGATACTGACCAGACTTGACGTTTCTGAACTTTGGTGATCGTACGGGAATTTCAACGTGATATGACCGTAAGCCCGACAAAAATTAAAAAAAAAAAAAAGAACAAGAAACGAATCGCGAAAAATTAAATAACAAATACCGAAGGAATAAGAATAGTTTGTTAAAAAAAAGCACAAAAAAGAAACAAAAAAACACAAAAAAAGAAACAAAAGACACAAAAAATGAAACAAAAAAACACAAAAAAAGAAACAAAAAACAAAATCAATAAATAAAAACTAGACTCCATCTTTTTTTTTTTTACCCTTTGCAAGTCCACTGTAGCCGGCAAGGAGATAAGTGAATAGAATCGCAGCGTTCATTTTGGAAGCAGGTGGATGGATATCTGGAACGATAACTGCACGGCAGCTGGCTTCTGCTTTTTTATATTCACCTCTTGTCGCATAGTCCATCGGAACGCCATCTGGATTCGAATGAAAGAGTCACAATTCGCTCCATTCTTCCACCGGGGCCCGCAGCCAAGCTCAAATAACAATGGTAAATGAATTGATGCATTCAGGGTATTATGAGTTCTAAATCACGAACGCACACCCTCCCTTGCGACGAAGACAAAGACATTTTGGAATTTAAATAAAAAAAAACTTTCTGACATATATTTTCCTTTCGCTCGTTTTTATTTATATTTTATTTATTTATTTTAATCATTTCTCCCCCAAGCAAGGCAATAAGGTCACTAAAGCGCAGGGGTGGGGGTTACCAAGCGTAAAAGAATATGTGAAAAAGAAAAAAACATTATTATGAAGTGAGAATAATATAAGAACAAGATTTTTGTGATCAAGGCGTGTCCGAGCTAAAATGGACAAAACTGGGGGAACTAAGGAATAGAACTCGTCTGAACATCTGCCATTGAAATAGCGATATTCACCCCAAGCAAGGAAATAAAGCCACTAAGAGGCAAGGGGTTACTGAGTGTTTGAGAATATGAGAAAAAAAAACTAAGAATTAAGAAGACAGAAGATATCTATTGACATTGCATTTAAATTTTTGAAGATCAAACTTGAGTGGAAAGCAAGAAGCCGGAAGATTCCACAATCGAGAAGTGTGAAATAGAAATTAGTAAAATGATGAGACCTTACCGCCAATCTAGTACTGCGCTTCAATTCATAGAGTCTAGGTATCGTAGAAGAGAGTTCATCGATTTATGTCTGTGATATTTATTGTTTGCTTTATCTATCCATTAAATACATTATACTATAAGAAAAATAAAAATGTATTTGCATAATTACATATTTATACATAACTGAGCCTTTCATATATATATATATATATATATATATATATATATATATATATATATATATTGGGATATGAGTTTGTTTCACGCTTTTGCGATCATCAGACAAACTCATATCCATATCATATCATATCCAGGGTCACAAATTCATATCCATACAACTGAATATGTTAGCTCTATCACTGATATTGAGCACTTTCCAATAGCTACTGGGAATATAAAATAACATATATATATATATATATATATATATAATAATAAATGCGAAAGTCAGTGTGTCGCACTTTTCCACTTTACTCCTAGAGGTCGTAGCCGAATATATCATACCATTTTAGAATCAGGCCGATTCCGTGAGGAAATTAAAAATTTTCTGAGCCGGGTCCAAACTGGTCACGCAGTCCTGAAATTTTGGGTTCCTAAGTTTTCATTACTGCAATAGTTTTCGGTGACTTTATTAGGTGACTTTTTCGACAAATTTTTTATAACTTGGAAATAAATTTCAGAATAATCGAAATTAGCGAAATTCGCCCATGAAAGTAAGGACCTACGTACATCAAATTGTCTTTAAATTAAGTGGTGGCAAAAGAATTATCGTTGAACTTTTAAAAGGTAAGCTTAAATATTAATGCAATACTTAAATGCAGTGATCAGTTTTATGTTCTTCTGTAATTAATTGTTGCCTATCGCATCTACTCCTCCCTACCTATTATGATGACAGCCCAATCAAGTGTCCTCCGCAGGGGCTAGCTTAAAGATAGGATTGCTTTTAAGCTAGTATATATATATATATATATATATATATATATATATATATATATATATATGTGTGTGTGTGTGTGGTATATCAAAAATAATTTTACAAACTTTGGGGGCGTATTCCTCCTCCTACCAAATCAAGGACAAAAGTCCATATAAACATATATTCGAAAATCCTTCGCTTTTTAGCTATTAACTTTAAAATTTAGCCTGTATGTGTTCTTCGTGGTCAGGGGTACGAACGGATGTTGGTTTTTCTCGATCCATTGTTTGTAGTGCCACGGATCCTTTCTCGGCAACGTGACAATAAACAGAAGCAAGGGTTGGATGACTCGGCTACCTTCGGTCTGGAAACACAATCTGATACAGACGTGTAGCATCGCGTCCCTTACCATTCGCTTGACCGTATGTAAAATCACGTCCGGTACATGAAGCAAGCCCCACAATGAAAACGATACAGTGACCAATCGCAAACATTCGCGCCGGAAAAGTAGATGACCCTGGGTACTGGCAGATCTGCTTAAAAGCAGGCCTATCGCAGCGACCAACACAGCGGAGGATTGTGTAAATACCAGTTGCGGACCAAAAGGCCACCTGCCAACACGCAGAGCGCTGTAGCCATGACCGCCATGACCATCATGACCGCTTCTCTCAATACTCCTAGGTTTCACTCTTCACACGCAGAATGCGGCCGACAATTCAGCTTCGACACCGCCAGACTCCTGACGCCAACCGCCGTGATTTATAACACTTCGACGTCGTCACCACACAACACCAGGCCTCCCTTGTCGACACCAAACAGAGACATTCCGACGACCGGCCTTAGCCATCCACTACAGGCCTAGCCTCGCCGTCACCAGCGTGACCCCGTTTCGTTGATACAACATTCGACCTGAATCCAAATGAAACAACCCGCTCGACTCGCTACAGGCATACCCTCGCAGTCATCAGCGCAACCTCGTTTCGTTGATACAACATTCGACCAAATCCAACTGAAATATACCACTGCATGCCTACCAGCTGCACATAATCCCTCGTCGCTACCGCCGTCACCTCGGCAACTAATGCACCCCTACACAAATCAACCCACCACCGTGACCTCAATCGATCAACACGTGCTCAACCAACGGCTAGAACCACTACGGACCTATTCTGTGGCTTCGGTCAAACAAATTCGGTCAACTCTTGGCACTACCGACAATACCCTTACACTAAATCGCTTTCCTGACGATCAGCAACTGAAAAGGACATTTTTTTCAATTTTCTGACAACTGAAAATATATAATGTATATTAAACGAATACACGCTGTTTGAAGATTTAATCCTTGCTATTCTTTGCCTTTCGCAACCAAACGTTCGTTATAACGGTAATTAAATATTGGTACTTTATATTTGTGCCTATAGGCACAACCGTGACTGTGGATAGGTAAATATTGATTGTTAATTTTTGAGTTTATATAAGCATTTATTTAGCTCGCGAAATGAAAAAATAATTTATTACTGGTCTTAGTGCCTATTGTAAAACTCCATTTTCTGCAAAAGTACCTACTCAAAATTACCTTCAACAAAATTACCTCCAGCAAAAGTATCTTCAGCAAAAGTACCTTCATAAAAATGCCCTCAGCGACAGAACCTTCTGCAAAATTACCTTCACAAAAGGTATTTTTGAGAAGGTATTTTGCTGAATATTCTTTTCTGAAGATACTTTTGCTGGGTTACTGTTATAACGAACGTTTGGTTGCGGAAATGTTCCCAGCAAAAGTATCTTCAGCAAAATTACGTTTAATTTCGTCGGCAAAGGTAGCATCAGCAAAAGTACCTTCTCAAAAATGCCTTCAGCAACAGTGCCTTCAGCCAAAGTACCTTCAGCAAAAGTACCCTCACAAAAATACACCCAGCAAAGGTATCTTTAGTAATAGTATCTTCAGCAAAAGTACCTTCAGCAAAACTGCCTTCAGTGAAAGTACCTTCAGCAAAAGGACCGTCAGCAAAAGTATGTCAGGA